TTGAAAGCTTGCTATTTACATATGATTGAAGCTCTACTTTAATCCACACTTTTGTGTTATTTTGGGAGTAGGATTCTTGCAGAGCATATATATCATCATTAGAAATTAAATGATAGAGTTGCACAACATTTGTACATATATATAGATAGTAGTCTCTGTGCCAAACCAATGCCAGCCCCTTTGTCATTTTGTCATCGCTCTCCTTGAGTGACCTCACCAGCAGCTGAATTGGAGGTCCTTTTGAAACCTAATTTCGAGTGCAGAATCAGAGGATGAACAAGAAGGATCATCAACCACCATGGACTTTCTTGCTGCTTCTTCAGGTAAATCAAAACCAGGTCTTCCCTGGGAGTGTGAGATGGGATTATTGTGATGAGAAGAAACCCACCACTTCATTGCTGAGGCCTTCATCTGAAACACTGATGAAGATGGTGGTGATGATGGAGGCTGAGGATGGTGGTGGTGGTGGTGGTGTTGATAACCCAGAATGAGCATTGCTGCTGTCGGTGCCATTATGTTATACCTTTGATTTCAATGTTTCATAAAAAGTGGTAAAAGATGTACATGGATTTAAAAAGGGCATGGGCCATGGCTTTATATGAGAGAGGGAGAGAGAGGTTTTGGTGAACTGTGGGCGCTGTTTGGTCGGTTTTGGTGGTTAAATTAAACGAGGAACAGATGGGCTGACCTTCATTTGCTGGGATTCTATGAATCTGTGGATGGTATTTTAAACCAAACCAAACCATGCTTTCTTTAAAATTGAATAAAACGTGAAATAAGTAGGGTTCGCAATTTTCCTCTGCATTCATTCCCTACCCACTGAGGAAGCGTGCGGTAGGTAGGTATGGGTTTTACTACCGTCCTGTTTTACGTACTAAATAAATTTTAATCATAAAAAGATTAAAACATTACACTTAACTTTCATTTATTTCACACTTTATTCTTATTATTCATAAATTATTATCGGTAATATATCACATTATTTCTTATTTTTATTCGTATTCTTATATTAAAGTTGTAAATTAATAATTCACTCCGCCTTGTTACCTTCACCTCCCTAATTTGTCCCATGTATTACAAATTTACTCTCATTCCATCTTGTCTTGCCTTGTTTTAGAAATAAGAAATAATTATTTTGGATTCCTAAATAATAGAGATATAATTTTTTTAAAAAAATAAAATACTAGAACCAGCAATGCCAGGGTTGGTGAATTTTTGTTCTCATTTAATTCTCCATATTCAAATTAAAATTGTCGCAAGTTTTTTTTTAATAAATAAAAAATTATGTGACTTGGGATTGTTTTGTCACCTCATCTCGAGCAATGTTAAAAATTTCAAAAAAATTATTTAATTTTTAATCAAATATTTATATCGGTGTGGAATTCACACTCATGTGAGTATTAGGTCAAAAAACTTTGTAATTTTCTTAGGGTATAGCATTTTTCACGTCACATTCATTTTTTTTAACAACGAAACAAAAGGCTAAAAAAAATGTGGACCCCGCTCTAATCCTCACCTTAATCCTACTATTAAACATGTTGAAGGTTTGTTTGGACGAATTAAATTAGATGAGTTTAATATTTTTTCTCATGATTATTTTTGAAATTATCAATCCTTTTGAATTATATATCTTATTTTATGTTTGAATTGATCTAAAATTATGAGAATGAACTAATAAAATCTTATTAATTTAGAATTTTAAATTTTAAAGGATTGTTTTGAATGATCTAAATAAGTATATTTTTTAATTTTTTACGAAAAAATATATAAAAAAATAAAAGATAATGTGATTTAAATAAGTGCACTTATTTAGATAGAAAAGAAAACACATGAAGTCTAGGCGATTTCCAGCGCGATCTCCGGCAACTTCTAGGAAGTTCCAGAACCACTCCTCACTCATTTTCATCAGATCGCGTCTCTCTCTGAGGAGGGGGAGTTGCAAAGGTATGATCTATCTATTGGCAGTGCTATGAGCCATATTTGACCTCCTTTTCCGACGGAGAACTAGTCTTCTCCTCCCCTGTTCTCAGTCCAGATTTAGTCCTAGTTTATGCTTTGATTTTCTCGAAATCTCTGTTAACTTGCAATATTTAGGAAGTTTGTGGGCTGTGATTCTTCTCTGCACTTAGCGTTCTATTTGTTTGGTGTCTTTTAAGTTTTTGTAGTGTAGTTTCTTTACTATTTGAGGTCTCTTTGTCTGGTCAGTTTTTGGGCCTTTCTTGGTGTTCTTGGAAGGTTTGTCACAATGGTGAGAAAAAGATTTTTGCTCAAGTCTATTCTGGTCATTAAGAGGCTATCAAGGACAGAAAAAGGTTAAGGTATTACAATAGAAAGTGACTCAACTCATGAAAATTCGCAATATTCGTTGCAAGATGATATGGTTTCATTTTTAGACCCCTTTGAAATTGCTCTTATCAATGATACGTTAGATGATGATTTTCGTTTTGATTGGGAAAAGGCCAAGTGAACTTTTCAGAATAGGGATTTTGCAGCTATGGATGAAGATATTGGCATGAATGGCAGTGCTTTTTCTAAATTCCCTCCTAGGTTCCCATTAGATTTTCCAATTAAGTGTGGCATAAGAGTTGATTCTAGTAAGGGGGGTCCATCAGGAAGCACACGTCCATATGAACACAATGGTAGCGGGGTAGGAGAGGGCACAAGTGGAGCCACTCTAAAAAAGCCTCTCAAGCAAAAGAAAAAGGTGATCTTAGGCAGAAATGTTCTTTTTATTGATCATAGTCTTTCTCACAACCTTAATGATGGTGGTACATTCAGATTCCTTCATCGCCAGAGCTTGTCGCTTGTCCAAGTGCAAACAAAAGAGTCACCCCTATCAGATGCATCAGTTGACATGGTTGAAAATCCTAATGTTGAAGTGCAACCTAATGAACATCACCCGAGTGTCCTTGAGCCACAATCACAACAGGTTAATGATATTTCTATGTCGGAACAACAAGCCCCCGTCTCAACGGTACATGAAGCACAACTGCTAGATCCGATCTCAAAGCAAGTTGAGAATTTTCGTGTACGAGGCCCTAAAAAAATTCGAGCACCAAGACTTCAATTGCTAGCACCAATTCTTGAGCACATTGGGAATTTCTGTGTAGGAGGCCCAAAGAGAATTTGACCACCAAGACTTTACCTTATGATCTTGATCTTGGCAAGCGCAAGAGAGAGCCATGCATGCAACCCCAGTGTTTTTCGACCTCGTTGGCATAGAACTATCTAATCTAGTAATTTGTTCTTGTTCTTGTTCTTATACTTATGTGTCTGTTGAATGTGTTTTGATATCTTTGCAGGGATTTGTTGCTGAGGCTTGCGGTGTGAGGTTACTGGTAAAAAATTATTGATTTTCGTTTGGACGTGCTGACGATGTTGGCTCTTGTAGTTTTAGAATTAGTTTTTGATGTTTTTCTATGTTTGTTCAATTCTTTGTATAAGGACTATCTATGTTATTCTACCCTTATATATATATGCAGTTTTACTTGTTCTCAAAAAAATTTAGATAAGTGTACTCATTTAATTTATGCCAAATAGTACCTAATTAATCTGAACTTCACTTTAGTCCATTTTATATCACACTTTCCTCTTGCAATTTAATAGCCCCATAAGGAATACCATTTTGAGATTTGACTATTAATCCGAACTTTTTATTTTCTTAATTAAAAATCAAATTATGTATTTTGCATTTAAAAGCTCTAAGTAGTAAGCACTCTGCTTTTCAAACTAAGGCCAAGTTTGACAAGTTGAAAAAAAGTCAAAAAGTCAAAAAAATTACTCAAAAAATTAAAAAGTTATCACTATTCACAAAAAGTCAAAAATTACGGCTGCACAACTTCCAATTCTAATTTTCCCCTACACACTAATTTATACAATTTTTTAATACACATTTTTTCATAAAAAGTCAAAAAGTTAACCCAAACATCCATATTTTTTTTCTCAATTTTTTAGTCTAAAAAGACAAAAAATACACTTATTTAGGACACCCCAAACAACCCCTAAAAGTTGATAACAATAAATAATTTTGTTTTCTTCTTTTAAGTCATTTAAGCTATTTATGCTATATAAGCTATAAATATAAGTTGACCTATTTGGCACAGATTTTTAAAAAATAAATAAATAAAAACTTATAAGCATCGTCTGCACCAAAGAGACTAGGGCTGCAAACGAGTTATATTTTTTATTATGTTACAAATAACTTTTAATATGTAAATTTATTTTTTATAAAATTAGCATCATTAAACAGGGCGAAATCATACCTTTAAAATGAATATAGTATTAAAATACTTTATAAAAATTTTAAAATTAGGCCTAGTTTGGGAAGACTAAATAAGTGCACTTTTTGACTTTTTTTTGTATTATGTGTAGAAAAAGTAGAGAGAAGATGTTGATTGATGTGACCCAAAAAAGATAAAAAGATGAAATAAGTGCACTTTTTTAAGTTAACCAAACTTGGCCTTAATAGCCCCATAAGGAATACCATTTTGAGATTTGACCATTAATCCGAACTTTTTATTTTCTTAATTAAAAATCAAATTATGTATTTTGCATTTAAAAGCTCTAAGCAGTAAGCACTTTGCTTTTCAAACTAAAAGTTGATAACAGTAAATAATTTTGTTTTCTTCTTTTAACTCATTTAAGCTATTTATGCTACATAAGCTATAAACATAAGTTGACCTATTTGGCACAGATTTTTAAAAAATAAATAAATAAATAAAATCTTATAAGCAACGTCTGCACCAAAGAGACTAGTGTGTATACAGAAATTATCACCGGAGTCCGATCCGATACCACATGACAGTATACCATCAGTAGTATTTTATGATTTGTCCATCATATTTTTTTATTTTTCAAAATATGTAAGCCTTTAGCCTCCTTTTAGGCAAGCACACAAGACATTTTCAAAAACCCCCCTCCTCCCCCCAAAAACAAAACAAAATTTCCACACAAGTGATGTTTTCAAAAACCAAGAAAGTGTTTGAAAGCAAAACCACATGGGTATAATAATATTTATTTTCCTCTTAGGCCTCGTGTAATGGTGAAAGCACATCCCCAGAAAGCCCTATTCTGGTAAATGAAATGAGAGCTCATTAAACAAGTAATTTGTATCTCCCTAATTTTCCATTTAAAAGTGGTACACAAGTGATGTTTTTAAATAACCATTTACAACAAACTGTTTTAAGAGTTGAGAATGCTTACAGATTAACGAAGAGTGAAGATTAAACCTGAAATAAAGTGCCAATGTTCTTCACAATTCCTTGCACCTGTCCACAGGAATGATTTCAAAATCTCACGTCGTGTTTTGAAGCTATGAATAATATGAACACATTTTAATCACAATTGCAGAGTCATTTACAAACAAGAAAAGCATCAAGAGTGAGCATGTACACAAAATATAAGTCTGGGCCAGCCAGACAGCACCGGAACTGCTTATTCTGGCAAGTATTTACAGTTCTGTTCTTTCTGCAATGCTCTCTTCAAGCAAGGGCATTGTGCTTGACGTGCCGATCATTATCACTGGATGGTCACTATCTTCATTGAATCTGTCCACACTGTGAACAAAAATCCCTGCAGAAATATAAAAAAGATAACGCAGAATTACTGGCAGTTTATATGGAGGTTGAAAGTTTGCAAGGTTGGTGAGACTTCCGGTTATCAGTGATCAACTATTTTCCCTGGAAATGCTGATATCCGAAATGTTTGGATCTTGGATTTGTGGAGGGAAAAGAAAAGAATGAGGGGTGGAAAAAAATTAGCTTCTTTCTACTCCGTTTCTCTTTCTCCTTCCCTCCATAAATTCAAAATCCAAACAATGCAAATTCCGCCCCCAATGAGATGGGGAATTTTGAACCCCTCATTTATACTTTTGGGCCTATCATCTTTTCTGAATTGAGGCCTGGCTCAGATCATGCCGTTCCAACAACCAGTGAGTGAGGAGCACCTCAATACACAGTACTTGGGAATCCTATTACACCCGAGGCCAACTTCAATTTCATGAAACCATGGTTCATCTCATGCAGTGATTCTGGACGGGTAATTAAAAAAAAGAGGAGGAATGAGAACTAGATAGAATCCCCAATTGGGAGTAAGCCACATTCTTTTGGGTTCAACATGCAATAATCCCTCCACACAAAGGATAATGCTGAAGTTATAGACAGCTATAACCTCTCTTTTTACTATCTTTTCTATTTGTTCTGCTACACATTTTCTCAAATTTATTTTTATTTTCGGAAGTCATCCATATGTTACTAGTGCCAACAAATGGTCTATTGTAGGGTCCTTCAGAAACATAATGAGGCATGATTACCAAATTACCCTTTGCAAGATGCTATCCAATGAATTTGGTAATTTTTGATTCAGGGAAGTAGTAATTAACAATAACATTTACCTATAAACCAGATTCCAGCTGCCAGAAACAGAACGGATGTCAGAATCAGAGCAGTTTCCCTCCAGTTGTTAACGTAGTCCTGATGAATGGTCCAAATTAGGCTATCAAATAACAAATATAACAAACTATTTTATGATACGAATATGATTTGATCAGCAAGGCCCTCCTAACAATCGCACATAAGATCCCAATTTTAACAACCATGGCCATTACTAGTAAACCCCACTACTTAAACCAAGTGAGTTATTATGAGCAAAGATTCAACAATATAAAGAATATTAGTTTAGTTATTTGCAAGATGCAAGCTATGAAGGCTTTGGATGCAAACCTGGAGAACCCCAACAAGTGGAGAAGAAGGCACATCGCCAAAGATATGAATTGAGACAGTAGACATAGCCATAGAGAGCGGTCTCATACTTGGTTTAACACAATGGAGAGATACATAATTCACAGGACCCTGCAACAGTGAACATGTAGAATGTTACTTATTGATTCTTAATTGAGTCTTCAGAATTCCTGGTTTTTATAGATACTTATTGTCTTGCAAACATTAGCACCACATAAATATCTGGTTAATGGCAAAGCGATAATATATAAATTTATTCAGCTCATACAAATAGATAAACCCCACGTAACTGCAGTATTCTTAAATCATAAAGGTGATTAACGGAACGAAAACCACATGCTGCACAGTGCACAGAAAATTGCATTGTTACAGATCAATTTTATTACGGCAAAGCTTAAAACAAGTTGGGAACACTAGCAAGCTTTTTATGCTTGTAACTGGCCTTTTCAATGAATGTGGAAACAGGGTGCTGAAGCAGTGGCTGAACAAGAAACTTTTTTCTTCAGGAATCAATGAATATAGAGGCGGATCAACCATAAGGCAACTTGGTAGTTTGCCTAAGGCCCACAAAAAAATTCCTTCTTGCTAACGGCCCTCAGGCCTAGGGCATCATTTTGATGTACAGCCTAGGGCTTTAGAAAACCTTGGGCCACTATGAGTACGCATATCCGAATCTCCATTTATGTAGTCACTGAGTCATGAAAACAATTGTGAAACAGAAAATCATATGACTCAAATTTTTTTTTTTTTTGTGGGCTCCATATATTAGCCACTGAGTCCTGTCGAACACTGTCAACAAAAAAAATTTATTCTATTTTTATTGACGTTTATTTTTTCCTGTTGAAGGCAATCAAAATCTGAACGTGTTTGCAGCTTATGGTCCAACAGGTGTTAACTTGGCTAGAGCTGCTCTTCAAGTGATCCATTAAATTGACTCAATAACAGAACAATAAGCATATAATGGCCAAATTCAATAGTAAATGGACAACACTAACAACATTTGTGCTTCAATAAGAAATTACCTGAGTAGCAAATACAAGTAGCTCACCAATAGCAAAAAGAGCAAGGAAAGCATATAGGTTCTTAAAACAGAACGCAGTAAAGCAAAACCCGGCCCCCAGAAATGTTGCTGCTGAGAGAAGCTGCAAAAGTGCACATGAAACTTGAATGATGCAAACCATAAATATCATCATGTAAGGTAAAACGATAGATTTCAACATAATGATAATAAATAACTGCAGCATGCAATAGAGTGTTTTAAACTATTGAAAACCAAATATTCTCTTCATAACCTGCAATAAACCGCATGGCCCATAGGCAAGAAATTTATGATTAACATAAATCTTGTGGAATCCATCCAGACTTTTCAGTGGTTAACATAATGGAGAAAAAAATAATCAATAATACAAATCTTGTTTCATTTGGGTTATGTAGGGGCATTTGATCATTAGTTCTTCTCAGATGCGTTGTAAAGTTGTCTAATTTCAAAAGTTGAGTAGTAGAGATTTCTGCAACTGTCACTTTATAAAATTAGAACACAGATGGGTCAAATATGTATAAAATTCCCTCCGATTTTCTATTAAACCATAGGTATGCTGATGCCATCCGACCATCTCACTTACATGGCCCATGCAATTTTTCATTATCCTAATAAGAGCATCCCAATATGGCACACTACCTCTCCAATTCGACCCAAAGTCCAAACTCAAGTTAAACTTTCTATTGTGACCACAATGCAGGCAGCATAGCATCCTCAACAATTTAATTATTAATTTGTTACATTATTACGCATTGGTAAAAATTTGATATCCTTCTTTTATTAAATTCCATTTTTTATCAGAAACACTGTTGGAACCAAAACCATTTGGAAATTGGAAATTGGAAATGAAAGGGAAAGAAAGGAAAGGATTCAGCGGAAAGTCATGTTTTTGCATTTGCAACTAATTGGAATTGAAAGGAAAGGATTTACCATTCTATTTGGCTTTGATGAAAGATTGGAAAGAAAAAAATTGTAGACCATGATGTCCTTATTGCATTGATGGTAAAAGATGTTAGAGAGTAGGAAGCTTACAAAAAGGGAAGATAATTTCAGGAAATGTATTAAGTTGAAGTCATTCTAATTCTTTTGAAACCCAATCATTTTTTAAGGGATTTCAAAATAGCCTATTTTTTCTTCCAAATCAAATCCCACTATAAATTCCCTTCATTTCAGACATTGAAAATCCTATTTTGAAATACCAATTTCTTAAAATCCATTCATTCCAAACACACTAAATGATTCAATATAACAAGAAGAAAGTTGCTGGTTATTAGATTTAATCACTTGATCTAATCCTTCGTTCAAAGGCTTTAAGAATTCCTACACTCTCCCAGTTTATCAGTTGATAGTAACCAAACCAAACCAAGTCTTAAGTCCCATGAAATGGGGTCGGCTTTATTAGTTGATAGTAACCTTAGAAAATAATCAACTCATGGTTGCATCTTAATGTCTAGTAGTATAGAAAGAATAAATATTAACAGCACTTGAGAAGCGACGTCAACCTCTTAAACTTGACATAGGCCCCGTTTGGTGTAGCTGTTAAAACAGCTTATAGATTATAACTTAAGAAATTATAGATTATGATTTTAATCAGAAGTTGTTAATCTGTTTGGTGTAGCTGTTAAATTATAGATTTAAATTGTTGAATAGTGTTTGTTAAATAAGCTGTGAAATAACTTTTTCAATTAATTTTTATTTTTTGTTTGTCTACCTACATCGGTCTGACACGACCATACCGTGTCTCCTATCCTGTTTTATTTTATTTATCAGTTTACTTTCCTGTTTTGTTACTCTCTTCAAACTCAAATTGGTTAGTTCCTTTCCTCCTTGAGCTTGAGGGGGGCTGTTAATGTACACCTAAACCTACTCCACTAAACCTAACCTACTACACCACTCCACCTCCACTTCACCTACTCCACTACACACTCCACTTCACCTACTCCACCACTCCACCTCCACTTCACATCTCCATCTCCTATATAATGTACATACAATACATCAAAACAGATATCAATCAATAATACATCAGTTTTTCTTACAGTAACCAAACCAAACCAAGTCTTAAGTCCCATGAAATGGGGTCGGCTTTATCAGTTGATAGTAACCTTAGAAAATAATCAACTCATGGTTGCATCTTAATGTCTAGTAGCATAGAAAGAATAAATATTAACAGCACTTGAGAAGCGACGTCAACCTCTTAAACTTGACATAAAAGGAAAAATCTAAATGATAATTGACGATTTTCTTGCTAGATTTTCACATGGAGAACAACTGCCAAGTACACAATATCTTCTTCATCAATATGTTCTTCTGAGGAGGCAGATTTGAAATAACATTTTCTTCTCTTTTTTTTAACCCCTTTTGTTCAGCAATAGCTCCCACCAGGAGCTAAACATAATATGGGAAGGTATTAACCCAAAGTTGTATGGTTGGCTGGAAGCTTCTAAGAAGAAGAAGAAGAAGAAAGAAACTTGCTAGATCAGCCATACAGCAGCCAGAAGGCCCAAAACAACCATACAGCAGCCAGAAGGAAGCCTCATCAAGCTACCTTTGGTTTAGCCATAATCACACATCTTTATTGATCCTAAACATCTCACATGATCCTGGATCTGTGCAAGAATGAATTGGTCTCTACTTAATTACCATTGTACTGACAATCAAAAAAAATACGATTATAGAGCTTCCTTTTTCTTTTATTGTATTTTTAAACAAATATAAGTGTGAGAGGAAAAATGAGAATTCTGGTACTTGAGCCAAGTTTTTGAAGACCATGTTAACAACTATGTACTCCAAACCAAGAACAAAAGAATCTTCCTTTGGCTCTGCACAGTCACAGAGGTTGGGGGTTGAAGATTCATATAAAGATACTCATGCATCTACTTTAAAGTTGATAAGAAATTCACTCAAACATTTAGTTTATTATAAGAAGACTTCAAATGCCACGGCAAACAGATTTTACTGAAGTTAAATTTAAAAGGAATATTAAAGGACTAAGTACTAGTTGAATGGTGAACTGACATGGATCACACAGCTAAGCAGAGAATTTCCGAACAGGAAAAATAATTACTCGATATGATAAAGCAAGAATTCAATAAATCAAAATTCAGAAAGGTAATCCTAAAGCCAACCATTGAGAGTGTTTACCTTAAAAGCATTGGGGATTGTGTTAGTCATTTTATCCAGAACAAAACCTCCTGCTACTGTTCCCAATATTCCGGAGACAATTGTGATCCCTCCAAAAACCAAATCAGCGTCGCTCTGCCAAAAGACCCAAGTTAAATGTTTTTAGACCTACTGTTATTTTATCTGAAATTATCTTTTAACATGCAATAAACACAAAAGAAAGATGAACCAGGTGTTCATATAGAGTGATATAAAACTATTCTTACTACAAAAAATAAAATAAAAATCTTTGAAATTTACCATGTGATATATATTATAACCAGCTTTTGGCCCCCAATATGAATATGCACCTATGACAAAGTTGTAAGCTATGTAACCTGCCAGTGAGCATTCACAGTAGAAGAATTAGTATATAGAAACATAGGACAGAAGCATAATTACTAAAGTTACATTCTACAGAGTGAATGCTTCAACAACTACATAATTGTAGTTACACTTATGAAGGCAACACTGTAAAGCAGATAAATTAGCCATCAAGTCTATGGGTGCATTAAAAATATCAAACAAAAACTCATCTATGATAACCTTTCTACAAATAAGAAAATAGCACGAAAGTTGAAAGTGAAGTGTGATGAACAATTTTCTACAAATAAGAAACTAGCACAAAAGTTGGAAGTGAAGTTTGATGAACAATATACCTAGAACATTTACGACGTAAACCTGCTCAAGCAAAAGCACTTTCATATCTTTCAAAAATCTTGATAACTGATCCAGATTAATAAATCCACATTTTGGCCTGCAATAAAAATAAGATTCAAAAAAATTAATCAGTATTCCTGTCTATCCTGAGCTTGTATAGTTGCAAACTTCGAAGGCAGCATAAATTCATGCCCAATCATATGCAATCATAGGTCACAAATCATGAGCTTCAGGAGGAGAGTCCTCACTTGGAAGGTCCTTTTGAGGTTTGATCTACGAATTCTTCCTTCATGGATAGCATGCCACCTTTACCGGTTGAATCATCTGTATTTATAACAAGCATCAATCAAACTACTAAAGGTAAAGAAGAAAACTACATTCTAAATACAATTATGAACAAGAAAATCTCAAAGCTACCATGCCAAAATATCATTATCTAACTTTCAATCAAATACTGGATATCACTTGACTGAAAGAAAAGTTGAAGACTAAAGTGAAGTAATTAGGCTTCTCGATGGGGTTATTCCCACTCCAATTCAGTTAGTCAGATTTGTTAAGACGAGTATGAAGCATTGGATTCCATATCGAATTGATTCTTTAACTAAGAGATCAATATCAAAAGAATATAAATTGCATAACATAATAGTTATAAATAGATATACATAATATTCCTTTTTACAAGAAGTGATAGATACATATATAATGGAAATAAATTTGTATAAAATTAATATGGATAAATGATAGTAAGAACCATAATATTATCATGATTCAAGTTTAAAATAATTCTATTGAATTAATTTCTCAAAATATTTTGTTTATTGTTTCTCAAAAATTGTCTCTCAAGAGACAAACCAAACAAGGCCATGGTTGTTCAACAAATTTAGATTCAAAATATTGTTGACTGGATGATCCATAAGGTTATCCTAGGTATTTACTTTTACTTAAAACTAATTGCCTCATCCATTTCAAATCCCATAATGGAAAAGCACATCCTTAAAATTTGCATTGGTTATGTGTCACAGTCTAAGTACAATGGCTAGACTCCACTAGGCCCAAGCCAGCCATATGCCCATAACCCTCCAATTCTTCGCCTCACTTTCATCATTTTTCAAGCCTACAAGTTTCCCAGACAAGAATGACTCCCCAAAGGAAGTCATGCATATCCAATGTTACCTGTAGACATGCTTGTCCCAAGTTCATCTTTGCATGGTCAACAGGTTTCTTGTCAGCACCAAGCACCCGTATGAGTAAAGCACTCACCCCACTAAGGGTTTCATCAAGGCTCCCAGCTACACCACCTTGCACATTAGTGCCCATAAAAAATGTTGCCCACAACTAGGACACTCACACGTCATAGAATCCACGACTTTTTCACTAGTGCCACAACTCCATAAGCTAACCAACCGTGTGGTAGCATAAGGTCCTAACCTACCTGACAACCTCACACTGCATATTGAATCCTCATAATGCACTTCAAATAGCCAAAGGGCCACTCTTGTCCCATAAAAGCACTGTGGATCACATGTGTGCCCACAACATACTCTATATATATGCACACCAGAGAGCCACCAACCACCATAAGCCATTGCATAGTATTGCACGAACCCAAGTGGAGACACTAAAATACCTTCATGGAGGCTAGAGCTCACCCCCAAGTTGCCTCGTGGTTGCACACTGTTAAAATTGATGTATTATTGATTGATGTATTGATTGTTGTGTAAATTACAGATGGTGAGGTACTCATTATATAGGAGAGGATTGGGGAGTAGGTGAGTGTGTGTGGTAGGTGAGTTGAGTGGAGGTGGTAGGTGATGATATATTTTAACAGCCCCCCGCAAACTCAAGGAGGATAGAAACTAACCAACTTGAGTTATCCTCCTTGAGTTTGGAGAGAGGAGCAAAACAAGAAAATACATAAAAATAAAAAAAGATAGGAGACACTGTATGGTCGTGTCAGACCATTGGTGAAGACACTGTATGGGGGTGTCATAACCATGTAGAGGACACTGTATGGGGGTGTCATAACCATGTAGAGGACACTGTATGGGGGTGTCATAACCATGTAGAGGACACTGTATGGGTTAGGTTTAGTGGAGTAGGTGAGGTGGTAGTGGTGTAGTGGGTTAGGTTTAGTGGAGTAGGTTTAAGTGGGTGAAGTAGGTGGAGAGTATGTGGATTTAGTGGGTTAGGTTTAGTGGAGTAGGTTTAAGTGGGTGAAGTAGGTGGAGAGTATGTGGATTTAGTGGGTTAGGTTTAGTGGAGTAGGTTTAAGTGGGTGAAGTAGGTGGAGAGTATGTGGATTTAGTGGGTTAGGTTTAGTGGAGTAGGTTTAAGTGGGTGAAGTAGGTGGAGAGTATGTGGATTTAGTGGGTTAGGTTTAGTGGAGTAGGTTTAAGTGGGTGAAGTAGGTGGAGAGTATGTGGATTTAGTGGGTTAGGTTTAGTGGAGTAGGTTTAAGTGGGTGAAGTAGGTGGAGAGTATGTGGATTTAGTGGGTTAGGTTTAGTGGAGTAGGTTTAAGTGGGTGAAGTAGGTGGAGAGTATGTGGATTTAGTGGGTTAGGTTTAGTGGAGTAGGTTTAAGTGGGTGAAGTAGGTGGAGAGTATGTGGATTTAGTGGGTTAGGTTTAGTGGAGTAGGTTTAAGTGGGTGAAGTAGGTGGAGAGTATGTGGATTTAGTGGGTTAGGTTTAGTGGAGTAGGTTTAAGTGGGTGAAGTAGGTGGAGAGTATGTGGATTTAGTGGGTTAGGTTTAGTGGAGTAGGTTTAAGTGGGTGAAGTAGGTGGAGAGTATGTGGATTTAGTGGGTTAGGTTTAGTGGAGTAGGTTTAAGTGGGTGAAGTAGGTGGAGAGTATGTGGATTTAGTGGGTTAGGTTTAGTGGAGTAGGTTTAAGTGGGTGAAGTAGGTGGAGAGTATGTGGATTTAGTGGGTTAGGTTTAGTGGAGTAGGTTTAAGTGGGTGAAGTAGGTGGAGAGTATGTGGATTTAGTGGGTTAGGTTTAGTGGAGTAGGTTTAAGTGGGTGAAGTAGGTGGAGAGTATGTGGATTTAGTGGGTTAGGTTTAGTGGAGTAGGTTTAAGTGGGTGAAGTAGGTGGAGAGTATGTGGATTTAGTGGGTTAGGTTTAGTGGAGTAGGTTTAAGTGGGTGAAGTAGGTGGAGAGTATGTGGATTTAGTGGGTTAGGTTTAGTGGAGTAGGTTTAAGTGGGTGAAGTAGGTGGAGAGTATGTGGATTTAGTGGGTTAGGTTTAGTGGAGTAGGTTTAAGTGGGTGAAGTAGGTGGAGAGTATGTGGATTTAGTGGGTTAGGTTTAGTGGAGTAGGTTTAAGTGGGTGAAGTAGGTGGAGAGTATGTGGATTTAGTGGGTTAGGTTTAGTGGAGTAGGTTTAAGTGGGTGAAGTAGGTGGAGAGTATGTGGATTTAGTGGGTTAGGTTTAGTGGAGTAGGTTTAAGTGGGTGAAGTAGGTGGAGAGTATGTGGATTTAGTGGGTTAGGTTTAGTGGAGTAGGTTTAAGTGGGTGAAGTAGGTGGAGAGTATGTGGATTTAGTGGGTTAGGTTTAGTGGAGTAGGTTTAAGTGGGTGAAGTAGGTGGAGAGTATGTGGATTTAGTGGGTTAGGTTTAGTGGAGTAGGTTTAAGTGGGTGAAGTAGGTGGAGAGTATGTGGATTTAGTGGGTTAGGTTTAGTGGAGTAGGTTTAAGTGGGTGAGTGTGTAGTAGGTAAGGAGTAGGTGAAGTGGAGGTGGTAGTGGTGGTTTAAGTGGGTGAAGTAGGGTGAGGTGGTAGTGGTGTAGTGGGTTAGGTTTAGTGGAGTAGGTTTAAGTGGGTGAAGTAGGTGGAGAGTAGGTGGATTTTAACATTACCTGTAGACATGCTTGTCCCAAGTTCATCTTTGCATGGTCAACAGGTTTCTTGTCAGCACCAAGCACCCGTATGAGTAAACCACTCACCCCACTAAGGGTTTCATCAAGGCTCCCAGCTACACCACCTTGCACATTAGTGCCCATAAAAAATGTTGCCCACAACTAGGCCACTCACACGTCATAGCATCCACGACTTTTTCACTAGTGCCACAACTCCACAAGCTACCCAACCGTGTGGTAGAATAAGGTCCTAACCTACCTGACAACCTCACACTGCATATTGAATCCTCATAATGCACTTCAAATAGCCAAGGGGCCACTCTTGTCCCATAAAAGCACTGTGGATCACATGTGTGCCCACAACACACTCTATATATATGCACACCAGAGAGCCACCAACCACCATAAGCCATTGCATAGTATTGCACGAACCCAAGTGGAGACACTAAAATACCTTCATGGACGCTAGAGCTCACCCCCAAGTTGCCTCGTGGTTGCACACTTAATTCCCCGTAGTTGCAGCAGGGGTAGTAGGAAGCACAATATTGCCTCCCCCATATATATAAAGTAACAGGAGGACACATCCCCTATGCTTAAGAAGTCATAATGGCCCTAGACACTTCACTGCATCACCAAAATTAAATTCTAGGTAATTATCCCAAAAAATACTCTTGCCCCTCCAAGGGTAAGATATCAATATTTACAAAAATTTCACTAGTCCACATAAGTGTGCCAAGAAGGCCCATAGCATGCACAATGTCTCTGCCTTTGTGCCAAACTCAACGGTCACGAGCCTGGCACTGTAGCCAACTAGCGACACGTGACACTAACTTTTTGACCATCTGATTATGTACAAGGCACTAATTTTCCAACCCTTAGACAATCATTGATTTCACCATTAGACCAACCCTTTCACCATTGGACCAACCCTTTTAGTACACACAAGAATTGTTTTCCATTATCAAACAGTTTCATAACAGTACAATACAAGGATTTATCAGCATTATAAATTCAAGCTACTATTCAAAAACTTTTTTGAGTCAAATTACATTGCATAGTAAGTAGAGGTCTACCTAGAAAGTAAAATTCTTATCAGCAACCATTTTATCAAGGAGGTTTTAATGGTTAAGGTCTCTTATTGGTTATTATGAATTCAAATGAAATCTCTGAACTCTGAAATTATGCCATTATTGTATGGGCAATAGATTTTCAAACCTATACAGTGATGTGCATTTGATGTATACAGGATTACTCTAGATATTCTCAAATATTAACAGCACCATCCTTTTAAAATTGGTCCATACAGTAGAATGGAGTGTTCATTAAAATAAAAAATATATATATTAAAAATAAGAAACTGCAAATAATATTGAAAGATCTCATGCAAAGTAATCATAACATGCAGCACCTTTAACTTCTGAGACAGCTGTCAATGCTTTTTTCGATTCCGCAGGAGAAAAACCTGTATCCACAAATTGATGAGAATTGCAAGGAAATGCAAACAAAATACATAAAAACAATACCTAAGATGACATGCACCTTTCAATTGCAAAGGTTTCATAACAAAACCTAAAACAGCAAATGGCAACATCAAAATGGCCTCCCCAAAGAATGCAAAACGCCAACTGCTGTAACCCCCAACCTATGAACCAAATACAAAACCAATTAAAAAACTATGATTAGTATTTAATTCACCTAAATAATATCAATGAATGCAGTTTAAATGAGATTAGGAGATACAAATGAGTGACAGAAACAAACATGATATGGACTGCTAAAGTAGCAGTCACAAAGTCACTGTCACACAAACAACTTCCAGAGTTATCATATGTCCATAGATTCGTTGACTTGTTAAAAACAAAAAATTCAAGACACAAAAACAATGTTAATTTAATGTAGCAGACAAGTAAATGTGCTTACCAATCCACCATAAACATAGCCAAGCGCAACTCCAGCAGGTATACACATGTAAAATATTCCAAGCCATGCCGTTTTCTGATGCAAGGACAGGGTGTAAATAAAAAAATGCAATAACATTAAAACTAACATACCAGTGAAACACTTCAAGGTATATGGAAATGGAAAATTTTTCACTCAATGATGATAATAATAATAATAATAATAATAATAATAATAATGATAATAATAATAAATGAAAGGGCGAGAAGAAAAATACAACCCAAGAGCAAGGCGATCACTAAGACCACATGTATTTTCATTTTTTTCTTCTTCTATTTTTTAATCAGCAATGAAAGTAAATATATTAATAAGCAAAAATAAAAAGTATTACAAGAAAGTGGGACACAAGGGGTCTGACTGAATTTTGGCTTAGCAACCATATTCAACTTTTTTTCTTTCTACAAGGAAAAGAGAGAAGGGAGGAGAAAACCAGCCATCAGGTTTCTTTCTTCAATCAACAGTACCCTAAAATGAAAAAAGATTTTGGGTTTTATAGGGGAACTAAAGACCAAACCCAAATTCCCTTGCTTGTGTGTCATCATTCTAAAGAGCCATGTGTCTAGCCACTTAAGTTGTCATGTGATAATTAAATACAAGCAGACAACACCCACATCCTTATAAGACAAAATCATCAAATGTATTACAAACCAAATAAAAAATAACCAACCAACCAACCAAACCAAACCTTAAATCCCATCAAATGGGGTCAGCTACATGAATCATTCTTCTCTATTCAACTCTATCAAAGGTCATTTGGTTAGTCAAATTAAGAAGATTCATATCTCCATTTACTACACTAGCTCACGTCAATCTAGGTCTGCCCCTTCCCTTAACACTTCCATCTACTGTCACTGTATCATATCTCTTCACTACTGCCTCTATTGGTCTCCGTTGTATATGACCAAACCATCTCAATCTATTCTCTCTCAATTTATCTTCTATCGGTGTCACTCCTTCCCATTCACGAATATACTCATTCATAACTTTGTCTTTTCTACTCTTGCCACACATCTACTTTAGCATTCTCATCTCAGCAACACTCATCTTATAACAGAATAAGGAAAATTAAATCCTAAGCTACATCAAGAGAGTAGCATCACGAGATATTGAATGGGGAAAAAAAATAAAAAATAAAAAAGTGGGACACAACCAAGAAACAAGTGATTAAATGATGTAAAGATGTGTATTTTCAATATTAGCATATTGTTCTAACCTCAAGGCAGAATAGAAATATGGGCAAAATCCATTTTACCCCTTGTAATATGGTCCAAAACTACATGGTGGGTAATTGGCTATTTTTAAATGACTAGGTGGTAAAGTGCTCTAGACCCGCATCACAAGGGGGTAAAGTAAATGTTGCCCTAGAAACACCCTATGCAACATTAGAGGACAATCTGGTATTCTATTTGTGAGCAGTCCGTCTGGATCATATTCACATAGAGATTCAAATATCAAGCATAGTCCAAATTAGAAAGTATTAAAAGAAAACCTGATCCACTGGAGCATTATCATCAATGAATGGAGCTGCAAGACTTATGAAAGAAGCTTCACCAACACCAACTAGCCTAAAAATCACATAAATGAAAAATAAGAAGTCTTTATGACAGAGGAAGCAAGCCAACAAATTCTTATGTTATGAAACACTATCTGAATATTATCCGAGCAATACACCTACATGCGGCAGATAGTGATGGACCAAAAATCAAATGCAATACCACAACCAGCTGTAGCAAAAGTCCAAACTGATAATCCAACTCCAATAAGCCTGAAAGGATTAACACTGCAAAATTCCACACACAAGGAAAAGTTAAAAAAGTTAAGTAGTTGGAACAACTCAATAATGGTAATTAGTTGGAAGAACACGGCATTCCATAACGTAAACTACAAAGGCTAGAAAACCGTTAAAATAAAATAAATTATATATATATAAGAAAAAAAGGCATTTCAATTTTGAGTTCTAGCTTAGCAATTGATGATGCTGGATGGCCCAAGGTTGAGTATTTTCAGAATTAAATTTCAGTACCATCAAGAAACAAGAGACTTAAGCTCCATTTAGATTAATCCAATGCCAAAGCAAACAGTTCAATGAAAACCCAAAAGGAAGCTGGCCATCGAAACACAAGTAGTATTTCACACTCTTGTTTTAAGCCTCCGTACAAACTAAAAATCCTCACGCATGCTTAAGAATGTTAAAACCTATCACCTACTTCACCCACTTAAACCTACTCCACTAAACCTAACCCACTACACCACTACCACCTCACCTACTCCACTAAACCTAACCCACTACACCACTACCACCTCCACTTCAGCTCCTTATTTTCCGCCTTTAGCACACTTATCTCTGCTCGCGCATCCTTATACATGCGCTGGAGCAGAGCCAGTTGGGCGTTTAGCTGCTGCAACTCATTTGTTCTACTTTGCAGCCGGTGCGACAAGTTTGTGACCGCAGTCATGGTTTCCACACATGACTTCAATGTATACTGATTGGCCTTCTAACCTCAAGGCAGAATAGAAATATGGGCAAAATCCATTTTATCACAAGGGGGTAAAGTAAATGTTGCCCTAGAAACACCCTATGCAACATTAGAGGACAATCTGGTATTCTATTTGTGAGCAGTCCGTCTGGATCATATTCACATAGAGATTCAAATATCAAGCATAGTCCAAATTAGAAAGTATTAAAAGAAAACCTGATCCACTGGAGCATTATCATCAATGAATGGAGCTGCAAGACTTATGAAAGAAGCTTCACCAACACCAACTAGCCTAAAAATCACATAAATGAAAAATAAGAAGTCTTTATGACAGAGGAAGCAAGCCAACAAATTCTTATGCTATGAAACACTATCTGAATATTATCTGAGCAATACACCTACATGCGGCAGATAGTGATGGACCAAAAATCAAATGCAATACCACAACCAGCTGTAGCAAAAGTCCAAACTGATAATCCAACTCCAATAAGCCTGAAAGGATTAACACTGCAAAATTCCACACACAAGGAAAAGTTAAAAAAGTTAAGTAGTTGGAACAACTCAATAATGGTAATTAGTTGGAAGAACACGGCATTCCATAACGTAAACTACAAAGGCTAGAAAACCGTTAAAATAAAATAAATTATATATATATAAGAAAAAAAGGCATTTCAATTTTGAGTTCTAGCTTAGCAATTGATGATGCTGGATGGCCCAAGGTTGAGTATTTTCAGAATTAAATTTCAGTACCATCAAGAAACAAGAGACTTAAGCTCCATTTAGATTAATCCAATGCCAAAGCATACAGTTCAATGAAAACCCAAAAGGAAGCTGGCCATCGAAACACAAGTAGTATTTCACACTCATGTTTTAAGCCTCCGTACAAACTAAAAATCCTCACGCATGCTTAAGAACTTTTCAAGTAGCATTGTTCTTGGAAATTGTCCAATATTATACAAAGAGTGTTAGACATAATACCATTAACAAGTTGACAACAAATACCAACAATCCAACTACATTATTAAATTCCATATAATATTTCAGTCTGACACTAACCTTAGAAACAGACCTGCATTGGGAAAATGGCCACCCCACAGAATGTACAGGCTTAACAAGAATAATGTTCTCACATCCAAATAGTTGAAATACAATAATAATGCCTAAACCAAGACACCAACCAGTGACAAAATTTCAAAAATATAATTTCAAAATATTTTTCCAAAAATTAGTATCATGAGTGCAATTGTATGAATGGTAAATCCTTAAATAAACTTCATCCACACTTTTTCACCATTAATCACATTATCAATATTATGATCCCTACTAAACACTGTCCTATAATTAATCACTTATTGGCTACTTACAATCTCATTTGACATTGTTTTAATCATTCATCATTAACATGAGATCCTTCGTATGTTATGTTCTATAATAATATAATCAATTGTTATATTGGAAAAGATTGAAACTTGAGCTTGAAACCATGCTCCTCATCTTTCAGAATATCAAGGCCATGATACAGTAGCAACCAATGCACCGTACTAAATTTCTTACCTCTTCGCTAAGGATGCAAATATTGGAGATGCCACAAGAAGACCAACCATGAAGGCAGAAGATAGAACACCATCTTCAAAATTGTTCAAGTTAAAATCACCCCTATATACAAGAAGACACCAAAAGTACATCAAAAAAAAAAAAGTATACTACTTGAAAAAACAAAAAATTAACAACGGAAGTACGTGCAATATATACAGAATTGAGGCTTTAAATATAATGAGAGGAAATGAAAACGGCTTCAAGAGAGGGATGCACCACACCCACTACCCAGCACAGTAAAATGTTCAAGAATCTAATCTTCACCAAACAGATAGATTCCTCGTTTCTACAATACCAGTAGCAGGAAAATCAAATTTAATTTTTCGGACAAGTTCCATTCTGTTTCCAAGTGATGTTCATATGAATGTGATTGAATCAGCAAAAATGTAACTGGGCATAACATATGAAAGAAACTTGAAAATATAAACAGTATAAAATGGCAAAGAAGTATAAGACTTACTGAATTCCGGTACCAGATGTGCATGTACCACTTTCTGTGCAAGTTCCACGACTACCATTTACACCGTTGCTTGCTATTGCTCCACGATCCACATAATTTAACAAGTTAATCACACAAAATATCCCAAGCAACCTGCAAAGGGAGAATTAAGAAAATCCAATCAACAAAAGATCAATTATTGGTAACCTGCAGACATAGTAATAAGAAACTTATCCCATAGCTAAATGAACAAAAGGAAAATATACATATATATTATCTATGTTAGTACATTTCTCGACTTATTACTTAAATTAGTACTAGAATTCAAAAATAATACATAATAAAGTAAAATCCAAATTCAGCTCTTAACAAGTTAATGTTAGTTAGGATTGAGCTCTATGAACTCCTACAGTGTTAAGTAATGACAAGAACACTTCAGCTCAATTATAACACAGAAAATGTGTTCACTCTATAAAAAGGGTTTCCAAAATTATTCAGACTTAACTTCATTAGTGTAACTCATCACAATGTATAATCGAGCTCCAGACCATTCAATCAAACTTCAACAGCAAACTGACCACTCAATATTGAACAGTCCCTCCCACAAACTAAACTCCAACGGAAGATGCGCGAATTCATATGACCTAATTGAATAGTTTCTAAATTTCAAACTTTTACTCTCCACCTGTAGAATTCTCTCTTCTGGTCACAGACCCATCAATTTCACTGCCCAAAAATTAAACTAAAGCATAAATCAAAACTAAAACACACGACAATCGTTTCCCAATCGCCATCAGATTCAAATTCGAAATAATCACTATTAAATTCACAATGGAGAAACTAAAAACAAAAAAAAGTCAAACAATCTCTATTCAAATTTCAAGAATTGAATATCTAAGAGTTCGAGCTGAAAAAAGTTTCGATTTTGATTTTCTGACCAACCAAACAGTAATTAATGGCGTACCTTTTAGGGGTGAACCATGAAGGGTTCGGAGGTGATAATGCGTTGGAATTGACATCGGAAAATCTCGACATGTCTGGTAGCCTCCCGCAATAACAGCCCACCTTTAGGGTTTGGAATTAGGATCTTCAAATGGTTTTGAATGTTATTCTCTTCTTTCCATCAATATCAATACACTAATCATATTTGACTAGTGGCTGGAATAGAAACAGAGAGTTTCTTCCTTGGCTCTATTTACACACCACCTTTTCTCTCAAGGCAAACCATTAATTAATTTATTTTTTATTACAATTTTAACCTTAAATGAAATGACTATTAAGGACAAATTATAATACACACCATTTATGTATTTACCATAAAGGACAAGAATCAATATAATATAAATCATTAATTCAAACTTGTTCTTTACGTATCTTTTTTGTCAAGAATACAAAAACCCTAAAATCAAAACCAAAAACCCTTCAACAAATAATCAAAAATATAATATTATTGAAGATTTTGAATGGATTCAATGAAGGATGCATCTGACAACTTTGATTTACAACAATGGAACAAGGAAGAGGTTTTTTTTTTTTGTTATTTTTGTTTTTGTTTTCGTTTTCGTCTCCTTGCTGAGTGGTAAATAGTTGGTTAACCAGAGCCGCATTATATCGTTGTTCGACTTATTACGCATTTGTTCGACTAACTAAAATCGAACATAATGACAATGTTCGACCAACAACAACCGAACAAAATGCATTTGCTCAACATACTACGGTCGAACAAAATTCATATGTTCAACATACTACGGTCGAAGAAAATTCATTTGTTCAACATACTACGGTCGAACAAAATTCATTTGTTCAACATACTACGGTCGAACAAAATGAATTTGTTCAACATACTACGGTCGAACAAAATTCACTTGTTCAACATACTACGGTCGAACAAAATTCACTAGTTCAACATACTACGGTCGAACAAAATGCATTTGTTCAATACACTACGGTCGAACTATTTTAATGTATTCGATTTTTAATTTATTCCTATATTCGGCAAAAATCGAGCAATTTCATTTAATTCGACTCTGTACTGCCGAACATTTATAATTTTTTTTTTCTTTTTTTTTCAGAACAGTGCATCCGTGGAATATAGTAATATTGGATCTGGGGGTCTTGATGACTACACGAGTCAATTTCTTACTAATGAGGTACTCTCATGTCGAAAATTAGTATTTTTTTCTTTTTTTTTTCGGATGTTTAATGAGTTTGTTGAATTTGACTTGTAGGTTTTCAAGAGCAAAGAAGAATTACTTGGTTGGGTACGGGACGTTGGAAGGAAAAATGGGTTTGTGATTGTCATCAAGACATCAGACTATGGTGGTGGTCATAGGACACCGAGGATATTTCTTGCCTGTGAGAGAAGTGGTCAATACAGAGCTCATAAGAAATTAGCAGGAGATGATTCAAGCAAAAAAATTGTGAAGATAACGGGTACAAAGAAATGCGGGTGTCCCTTTGAGTTAAGGGCTCGTAAGTTGATGGCTGATGATGATTGGATGGTAGATGTAGCATGTGGAATGCATAATCATGCTCCTGCTAAACATTTTGAAGGACATTCATTTGCAGGGAGATTATCTGAGGAGGAAAAATCATTATTAGTGGATATGTCCAAAAGCATGGTCAGACCGAAAGAGATTTTGGTTACATTGAAACGAAAGGATGCTTTGAATGTAACCACTATGAAAACCATTTACAATGTACGTCATAGGAATAATGTTATTGAGAAAGCTGGGAGATCACAAATGCAACATTTGTTGGGTGAGTTAGAAAAACATAATTACATTGAGCGGCATAGGTGTGACAACAACACGATGACTGTCATAGACTTGTTTTGGGCACATCCTGTCAGTTTAGATTTGCTCCGTTCATTTCCAAAGGTGTTGATCATGGACTGCACATATAAGACAAATCGATATCGTCTTCCTCTTCTTGAGATAGTTAGAGTGACATCCACTGATATGTCATTCTCCGTAGCCTTTGCATATCTCCAATTTGAGCGGATTGATAACTACGTTTGGGTGTTAACTACATTGCGTAGTCTCTTGGATGACATTGGTATTCCTGAGGTGATTGTCACGGACAGGGAGCTTGCTTTGATGAATGCTATTAACAGTGTATTTTCTACATCTCGACATTTATTATGCCGATGGCATATTAGTAGAAATGTACTGGCGAAATGTAAGAAAATGTTTAAGAGTAAGGAGGAATGGGACAAGTTTATCTCTTTATGGAATTTTTTAGTACTCTCCTCAACTGAGCTTGAATACAATGAACATCTTGCTAGGCTACTTGCGGATTTTGATACATATCCTGAGGTAGTGCAATATGTGTCACAAAGTTGGTTAATTCCATATAAGGATAAGTTTGTTGCCGTATGGACAGATAGTTGTATGCACTTCGGGAATGTTACAACCAATAGGTAATATATATTTGTCTACCTTACACTATTATGCATTATGATTTTGATTATTTAAACTTGATTATGTTAATTGTTTCCATTGTACATAGGGCTGAAAGTGCACATGCAAAACTGAAACGGCAACTTGGTTCTAACCAAGTAAATTTTGAGTGTTCTTGGACCAAGATCCATAGTTTGCTTGAGTTGCAGCATGTTGATATTAAGGCATCATTTGAGAAGAGCTTAACCATTGTACAACACCAGTTCAAACCATCCCATTTTAGAGAGCTTCGAGGCAATATCTCTATTACTGCATTAGATCATGTCTTAGCGGAGAGTAAGCGAGCGAATGATGTTGGCATTGATGCTTCAGCATGTGGATGTGTTGTTCGACGAACATACGGGTTACCGTGTGCCCATGAGATTGCGGATTACATCCGGCAAGGTCGTCCAATACCACTTGATAGCATTAACCCACACTGGAGGACTCTTGAGGTAGTACAAAAGTTGAAGAATGATAAAGTGGAATTGAGTTGTGAACCAAAGTTTGATCTCATACTTAAGCGATTCAATGCATCTGATTACTCTACGCAGTTGGAAATTCTGCATAAGTTAGGAGAGATTGCAGATCCGCAAAGTAGTTTTCTCATTGAGCCGGATGTGAAGCCCAACCCTCGAGGTAAGGGACATAAGAAGATAGATGTATCTACGCGTCGAGACTCATGTGCATTTGAGCTAGTTCAGTCTGGACATGATAGCCACTCACCTATGGGCACCCAGATCCCCACACAAGATTCTGTCAAAGCACATAAAAAACGGCCTGGCAAAGAGCAGGTACATGTAATCATTTTTTACTTACATTTTTGTTTATGATAAATTACGTATTTTGTTGTTCATGTGTTGATGTCTTTCCTGTTGAATAGGTATATCGGACGCGTACAAGTACAACTTATTCATATGTTGATGCCCTTCCAGTTGGATTGAAGCCTTACATACGTCTTATCAAGGATGTAGATGCCGATGGCAATTGTGGGTTTAGGGCCATTGCTGGCTTGATGGGGCTTACAGAGGCTGAATGGGGTCAAGTCAGGCGTGATCTCCTACAGGAATTGCACACACACATAGACCATTATACTCATCTATATGGTTCACGTGACAGGATTGAAGAGCTGACCCATATTCTATCATTCTTTGAGCCTAATCCAGGGTATCACCGTTGGATGACTATGCCTGACATGGGTCATCTTATTGCATCTTGTTATAATGTGGTATTGTACCACTTATCTGCACAACAATGCCTTACTTTCCTCCCCTTACGATCAGTGCCAATATCACAACTTCAACGGCGTGAGATTGCTATTGGGTTTGTTAATGGGAATCATTTTGTCCAGGTATAGCATTATGATTTGTGTAACACATTTATCATTTTGTATTGTATCGCTCTCATACTTATATCTGTGTCAATATAGGTGTTCATGTTACCGGGTCATCCAGTTCCACCAATAGCTACCAATTGGTGCAAGTTTCATCATTCTTGTGCGGCTGGATGGGATACTGCATATAGTCGCCGAATTGAGCATTTTAAACAAGTTGTTCATTCAGGGGTAGCTACTAGAGAGACATTTGATTGTATTAACCTCGATGAGTAATGATGTATGTCAGTTGAGTTGTAGTGATGCAATTTAAATAGTTACCGATACATTTTTTTGGATTAGCATTTATATAGTTGCGTTGGATTAAGCTTTGAGTTAATATAATGCACATGGTAGTACTTGTTCATTGCGGTGTATCAAATGCATTGGCACAATACTTCCCGTTGATTACCAAAAATACAAACCATGAATACTTGTTCGTTACAAAATATTGGTAGATTAATTTTTGTTCATTACAAAACAACAAAAACATCAAAAGAGTACTTCTTTTCCATTACAAAATAACAAAACAAGATTACCATAAAACCAATTACCTATCATGTACTCGTCTCCTACGATTGTTATGTTTGAAGTGTAATAGAACTAGGTCCAGCCTCATCAATTTGTTTGACCTTGAAGAACACGTGTGATCCTCTCAATAGCCTCATATAACCTATCTGGCTCACGAACACTAGCATCATGGCCCGCCTCGATGAATAGGATGGGCAATCCGTAATGCGTGATCAATACGCTGCATTAAGAACAAATACAATTCTAATTAACACATGCCATCTTCAAAAAAATGTAAACAATGTGTGACCAATACTGTTATACCTCAGCATCCTGTATGTCAGATCGACTATCCTGTGCACGTGGGTCAAAACCAGATCGATGTGTAGGGTTCTGGATATGTATGTGTGATGGTTGTATACCACTGCATGTAACCATCAACACAATCAGCTGGACGTCTGACTGGGGTACTCCTCCTTCGAGCAGTATAAACATGATTATCCCAACTCTCCAATATCTGATCAAGATACTGATACATCACTTTATATCGCTGCTGTCACACCTCTAACAGCACGAACAGGGTCGAGTGGCGCAGGTGGATGGTCTGAACCCCTACCACAAAAGCTGTCTAAGAACCCTTTCAGGATGATAGGGTTCAACAACATCCAAACACTTCAAACAGCCAGTATAGAATGTGATCTCATGACATGGGTGATGTTGACGGCAATGTCGATATGGATCCCAAGTAACCTAAGAGAGAAGCACAAATGAAATCGTGATGAGTGACATGTAATGAGAAAACTTAATTAAACTAATATTAATTGGTGTACCTCATCAAATGCCAATCTGTCAAGCTCCTCCCGTAACGCCTGTAGGTGTGATATCGTTGAGCCAGCTTCCCGACGAGGAGTCCATCGATGCACGTGAGGCAATTGTACAGTATATTGCATGTTTTGGCGAGGTCTAAATGGCCGGAAATGCTCATATATCCATGCCTCCAATAATGTCATGTAACCAGCCATTTGTCGAACAGCTGATCTCGTGGCAAATCCCAACTGTCGGTATAAATATGCCAATGCAGCTGCACCCCAAGCATATGTATGAATATCAGACAAATCCATCAATAACTTCAAGTACACAACAGGAACTCTCGTCCCACTCTTGTCACTGAACAATGTACATCCCAATAGAAATAGCAAATACGCTCTGGCGGCACAAGCTATGGATTCCTCGGTGTCTGAATCTTTGCAACCGCTGAATTTGGTTCGTAACCACTCCAGCTTCACTGATTGTCCCCTAGCAGATGATAGTTCCTCAGTTGCTTCAGCATCATCAACTCCCAAGGCATCTACCACAAGTGTATGTGCTTGTTGATCTGTCAAAGTTGCAGCACTAACTGATCTACCTGTGATAGGGATCCCCAAGATGGTACCCACATCATCCAATGTCATTGTCATCTCACCAACTGTCAAATGGAAAGTATTTGTCTCTGGTTGCCATCGCTCAACAAATGCAGAAATGACAATCCTATTCACGAACCGATACGTGCAATGGACCAAAGAAGATAGGCCTGACTGCTGCACAATGTCTCTAAACCTTCTATTGTCGGTTCTTGACCACCACCGCCACTCAAGAATCTTAGACGCATGATTATAACACCTTAAGGGATTCCTCTCCTGCAAGGTAATTAATAATTAACATAAATAATGTGGTTCAATAAATAATTAAATGAATGAAACATGGTAAAAAATAGTTACTACCTTCTGATCCCATATAGCTGCTGCAATATGTGCCTTGAAGCTCTTTAGTACTGATGGATCTGATGGCCCCCCAGGAAACGGACCAGTGAGTACCTCCTCAACCTGATTAACATCAGTAGCATCATCATCATCCCCTGAACCATTATCAATCACATCCTCTTCCAAGATTTGAGGTGCTTCCTCCAACACAATATCATCACCTCGACCTCTATCCCGACCCCGACCTCGACCTCGACCTCGGGCACGAGCAGGATTTGTTAATGCACGTCGTCGTCTCTCTGAGGTAGTGGGTGAGGGGTCATCCATTTCTAAAAAATTAAACACAAAACAATAAAGTTAACAAAAATAACAATAAAGGACATTGTTAACACAATCATTAGCAAAGAGAGTTTGGACCCAGTTGGTGGTACTATGACTTTTAGTGAGGTGCTTTTCAATTAAGAACTATGCAGATAAGAGGCTGCAGTAAAGAAGTATGTGCTGTTTGGTTACACAGTTCAAGAAGAGCTTGATTTCCTCTCTTGCAAAAGCATCTCATCACTGCTTCATTGAAGAGTACTTTCTGTGCAATACAACTAAAAGTCAACGTACTTCATAGATACAGCTAAAGAAACCATGAACCACTTCAAGCAACTGTAAAGATCTTCTAATGTAAACTCACCACAACACCAAATGGGGCCTTCATATCTTATTTCACCATTTCTTTCTAAGAAAACTTGTGGATTTTAGGTAGGCATGCCAACAATAGGTTCTTTGTTTAAATTTGAAGTTTTCTGATTTACCCTGTGGATTTGGTGGCTGTCTAGTGTCTTATGAAAGTACGTCAGAACTTTGGCAAAATAAAACTACAAGCACTGCAATATAAAAAATAAACTAAAACGGACCCACACAGTTTGATATGAAAACATGCTGATAAAAGTTGTACCTCCAATCTAAAATATCACTGGCTTCCATTATGAGATAATAAAAATTGCTAACATTTATATTTGACATTTTATGAATGAGAAGTTTTGGACTTCACTGGATTATGGCTCTTGTTTGGACATCTGTTGTTTTACTTGTTATGCTGCCAGTGCCTCCAGTGGTTGTGCGGAATGATGAATGGACATGGGAAGACATTTACCATTACTTGTATGAAGAAAATGCCTTTTACAATATTGTTATTTCACCAGGTCCCGGTTCTCCCACATGCCCAGCAGATATAGGTTAGATAAATGAACTATGCTTTTTAGCCTTTTATTCTTATGTGCTTATGGTAAGCAGTTTGAATCAGTGTCCTTGGACATAAGGTTGACAGTGGAAGTTTACATTTTCTGTAGGATGGAGTTTGAAATGTAATCTACATCCTGAATGATGCAATATATTTCATTGCCAAATTAATATTGTTCAGATCAGACCGAAACACTATCTTATTAAAAATATATCTGCTGAAAATTCAGAATTCTGCACCTTGTGCATTAGACCTTTATGAATTTGACAGTTTTGGTTGTTGCTGTGATAGGGTGATGAGGTTGACTGTCAAGCTATAGATTTCTGCTTTCATTATTTGCACAGTGTTTTTACTTAGCTGAATTTTATTACTTGTTTGTAACTTATTTGAATCTCACAGGAATATGCCTTAAGCTGCTACTCAAGTGTAGGGACATCCCTATATTAGGTGTTTGCCTTGGACACCAGGTATTTCTCTAAAAATTTGTTCGTAAGAAATTGGTCACAGTGGCAACTGTGACCTGATCAATCACGTCTGTACCTGTTTGATTATATTGACGATTGTTACTTAAAAGAGCCCGTAATGTCATTTGAAGTTAACAAATTGTTACTTAAAAGATCAGTTTGTCAAGAAGAAAACAGTTCAAAATGCAACTTTGAATAAAATAATTAAAAACACCATCAATGGATCCTGCACACCGTGCTACTGCAACTTTCACCAAGCTATTTAGGAGTATGTTGCAGATTTTCACATAAGAAAGTCACATCCAACTTGCAGTCTCTTTTCAAATGAGAGTAGCATATAAGACAAACATACCTAGATGCCATATATTTGCATACATAGACAGCTTTGCAAACTAATCATTTAAAAGAAATCAAAATGCAACAATTATGCTTTTCAACAACAAATCAACAATTCTTTGGATAGAACTGTGACTATCAATTCAGAAGTAAGATGAAAACTCTCGAAGAATAAATAGTCAATAATGAATACCTGCCCTGTAGTAGTTCTTGGGATAACAGAGATTGAAGCAATGTCTACATAAGATTGGGCAGTAATAAATACATCAACACAGACCTGAAAACAATGAGATTCAATCACAGAAAAGTTATGGATCCATCATGAGTCTCAATGAACACCATGGGGAAATTTCAGAACTATATTGAATAGAAAAAAACAAATCAGTGAAACTCCACCTGGTACTCTGCAAGTTCAACAGCCAATGTCTTTAAAATTTTGTCAGCTGGTTGGAGTAATTTATGGGCCTCCTAAAATTCAACAACAAACATAATAGTAAAACTTACAGCAAGGAGATGGAAAAAAAGAATGATGGAAGAGAAGAGAGAGACCGTGTATGGCTAATGTGAGATACTAAAAATTAGGATTCACTCCCTTAGTCACATGTATTTATATTAATATGGTACGACTAATCAACCAAATGTAGCATAAAAGCATAACACATACCACATACACTATATTATAAAGCCAGAATCTCATAGCTATGTTGACAAACAATACAAGCTCTCAAGGAAAGAAAGGTTCTATCAATTCACCACGCATTTCGAAATTATTTATTATAAAATAAAATTAAAAAGGTATTGATTAATTGTTCATTGGATTTGATGCATTCTCTGAAAAGCCTTGCCAGGTGACCATATTGATAGAAAGCACAAGTACCAAAAACAAGAACTGCTAAAGCTGCATTTCGCCAAAAATATTGTGTAACGCAAGCAAAATAGTCATAATACTATGCTGCTACTATCTGTCCCTAACCCCAAATTGAACTAAGAGGAACACT